GCCTTACACTGTTAAGACCTTAGTCAGTTGTAAATTACTCAAATAATGTTAAGTAGTAATTGGTAAATTATTTTACCTATTCATACTTTTTATGTTAATTTACAGATGGATTAACTTTTTCAAGCTGAAGACGTTTTTTTTAAAAGGGTATTAGTTTAGGTTTTGCAACATTAAACTGTGGAAAATAGCCACTATAAACTAATTATGTAACAGACCGACCAAAACCTGTATTACGGGTTGCTTTTTGCTAGTAATAAATATTTGCCTATTTAAACTGTAAATTAAACTTTTAGCTATTTTGTATGAAAGCTGTTAGCCTAAAGAATATAATAAGTTAAAAAGTTTTTAAACAGACCAAAAGAGGGCGGACTAATAAGTGAAAATGGCACTTAACTAACATTATGCAGAAAACAAGGTAAAAAAAGTGCTTCATCTTTTAGGTTAGATTTCTACGATCCAGTAAAGTGGTTTGTATCAGAAACTTTTACAAGATGTTAAGAATTCTATGCTAATTTGAAAAACATATACAACTTCATCAGAAGTGACTGGCTAAGTAAAATAAACTTGTTTTTTCCATATCATATATATACCTTAAGTTACACCACTTATATTACCGAGTGATATATATTGTGGATTTTTTATATCTATTATTCAGAGTTAGAGTTACATAGCAAAAGTATTGACTTCATTCATTAAAAATAAATTACAGAGGAAATTTTAAAAAACCGGTGCCTCTCTTCCTGAGTGACTTTTTTTAACACTTATAAAAGTTATCTAATGGAAAACAGTTTTTACACAAGACCAAGAGTAACTTTAAAAAATTATTTTAGTATTACATCTTTATTAATACTTATTTGAGTTGTTGAAATTAAAGAAAATCTTTTGTTGAAGTTTTTACTTACACTCCTTACGCTTATGCACATTGCCTTATTTTCATTAGGTTGAACTTTTTAAATGCTGCAAAATATTTACATTTAAATCTTTGAAAAAATTTTTGACGAAAAAAACTGCTATCACAGTTTAAGAGGGAGAGGACTTCAGATATATGCAATCGTTTGTGACAGGAAGGAAGAGGTTAAGAATTGACAAATATATTATGGATGACCCATAATTGCATTTACAAACGATTTGCTTCATTAAAACAAAAATAAAAAAGAAATTAACTGATTATTTTTTATTAGGAGAATAGCAAATAAATCTTTTTTTTTTTTTTTATGTCTAAATTCAAATATTTATTTTAATCTTATTTTTATTTAAGTGTATTTACATGTCAACTAAAATAAGAATACATAAACAAATAAAAAAGCAATAATATCAATAATCAACATTAAATAATTTTTTTTTTTTGTTTCCTAAATTCTTCTAGTAAAAAGTGTCCGTTGAATTCTTATCCAACCAAATTCATAAGTCCAACCAACGCGAATTACCTAATGACAATATTCATTTTGTAAACAAAGTCTTAACAAAAAAGTGCCAGAACTTTAGTAAATGCAAGTAGTTTTACCTTGTCAAACAAATTAAATATAAAAATAAGCTTAAAACTAAGCATTCTTATTCAAAACTTTAAATGTAAAACTGTAACATTTAATATTCTTTTCCATGTATTATTAAAAAACTTAAGTTTATGAACTAAATTTTAGAAAAAACAAAACTTTAATGTTTTTTAACTTACGTTACATAAAAACAACAATAGTTCTTTCAATAATTACTTAAAATATATATTTTATAAAGTATTAAATTTAACCAACAATAATTTGAACATGTTAGCTCCATTTTCACGCTAAATTAATTGTTAGCTCCATTTTCACGCAAATAAATTTATGGTTTAAATGACATTTTACAAAGATACCTTTTGGGTCAAAACAGTAGAATTCAGACACTTTTCAGAAATTTTGTGGCTGACTTTCTTGGATTCCTTAGCTTTTTTTACCAGTTATTACCCATGATGTTAAATGGTTAAATCTGAAATATTAGTTCAGTACCTTGTTTATTTGCTGAGATATGACCAATCAAAGATAAGGTGTCGAGCAGTCAAAAAATGCAACTTTTGTGAAATTTGCAAAATTGCCACTTTTAAATGCTTATAACTTTTTTCTGGTAATAAACAAGTGATTGATATTTTAAAAACTGTTTATACAGGTTCCAATGTTTACAAAAATACAACAATAGCTCACTTTTTTAATACTAGAAAAATTTTGTGACCCCCTTAAAACAGGCTAAATGGCATTTTTGTGGATAATTTGAAATTTTTGATGCATTGGTAGAGCTTTCTAGTAAATAAAAAGTTATAACTTATATAAATATTTTTTTCATTGCTATATGACTAACTTGTGTAGCAAAGAATATAGAGCTTTTTCAAAACTAGATTTACACCAAACCAGTTTGAATATTGCCTGGTAAATAAAAAAACCCCAATTTTTGTTATTTTTGCCAATTTTTGATTATCTATAGATTTTTTCTGGTAATACCATTTGGTCTCAAATTAACAGTAATAAATCTCTTGTGGTAGGTCTTACATTTGCTAAAAAAATAATTCTTTTTTTAAATGTTGTGTAAAAAATACATTAGGTCAAACTATGATTTTTTTTGCTGGATGCTCATAATTGGAAATGTATACAATATTTTCAAATATGGTATGCTAAACTAAGGCAATATTAGTTTATGATCAATATACATGAACAACATACAGTACTATTTTATGTACAATACTATTTTAGTCAATCAATGCATGTGTACAATAATTTCAAATATGGTAGGTATGTTAAAGTATGCAAAAGTAGTTTATGATCAATGCACATTAACAACATATGATACATTAACAGTCACACAATTTTCTAATTATTTTCAAATACAGTATAATGTCATTCTGTTGCTACTTTTTCAAATACTGCTTCACAGAATATGAATAAAACCCTCGTATATTCACAAGTTTTGGTTCATTAACAATGGCAACAATGTCATCAATAGAATAGGGATGCACATCATCTTTAATAGGGTATTTAAAATGAGTGCCAACCTTTTCCAAACAGCTAACTATAAATAAAGTGTCCTGTTTACTGACAACCTTACCAGGGTATTGTTCACCAAAATAGTCAACTAGTACCCAATTACTTATCTCAACCATGTTCTTATGGTTGGTTTGTCGGTTGGTTGAAACAAGACAGTCATTACCACATAGTTTGCCTCCTAGATGAAACACAGTTTCATCATCAACACCAAATTTAGATGTTGGAAACCCAGCAACTGTACACTTTGAATATGGGATAATATGATGAAGCGAGGAATTCCTTTTACAGATTGGATTCCTTTGAAACGATCCTTGAGTTTCTGTGATTCATACTGGATAAATTCGGACGAAACGTAAAAGCACCTGAAATAGAATGCATGATTTATTTTATCAGACTAGTCAAGATAATAATTATAACATACTCTAAGTAGTAGAATTTTAAATGGTCTATAAAAGGATTTTAAAAAATGTATCAACCGATAAAATTGCTATGAAATGATTTAAATTTTTATAGATAATTATAGATTATTTATAGATAAATCTTTCATTAATCAAGTTTTTTGAATAAGAAATTTACCTGATATTCTTTATTGTCTTTTTAGCCTCTTCAAACATGTCCATTGGTGTCGTTATTTGGTTGACTACTGGTCTCTGGAGTGAAAGACGCCCAATGATTCTCTTTATTGTTCCACCCACACCATCGCAAGCGCTTTTGCCATGAGCGGTGGCAAAGAAGTGCCACTCACAATCAAGTCCAAAGTCTTCTTTATGACACATATTCATGACATTGTACCTGTTTCAAAGCATAAAAGCAAATAAATATTAAATAAATTATTGTACTATGTATAAAAGAGGATGAGGAGAGGAAAAGGAGAGAGGATGAGGAGAGGAGGATGAGAAAATATTAAATTATGTTACATATGTTTTTAATGTAATTTTTTGTTTTATGTATAAATGTATATAATGTAAATAATATATATGTAATATATATAAATAATATTGTAATAATTATATATTATATATATATATGCCTAATTTTGATATTAAAGTTTTCAAAATAAATCACATTAAATTTATATTTCTTACCTATTTTTATATTGGCTGGCTGCACCATTTGTAAAATAATGAATCTTTTGTATTTGAGGAAATTCAACCTTAATCACTTTCAGTATTTCACCAATGAAAGCATGAACTGTTTCTATATCATGATGGAGGTGATCAGATATGACAGCAAAGCAAACTGTTTTCTTGTTGTCATTTTCTCTTGTGTGGAGTACAAAAGGGTGTATGGTGGCCTGTCCTTTACTAAAATGTGATGATTGAACCTCATCCTGAATTATAAAACTAAAATTTTCTGCAAAGTCCATTTGTAGAATACCTTCATTTCCAGTGATTTCTTCCTTCATTGATTCAAATTTTTCTGCTTGTATTTTAGACAGGTAATGATGCTTTGTAAGGTTGAAGATATCATTAGTCAGAGTTTGCATGAACTCATCTGCAGATCTTTTCATGGTGACAAGAGTGCATCTATATGTACGCACCCATTGTTTGAATTCCAATTCATCCGTGGTAATGTAAGGTTGTAGATGGTCTTCAATCAGTTGTGAAACATGCAGTCTTTGGAACTCATGGAGCAAACTGCCAATTCCATTAAGGAAGAAATAGAAGAGTCCCTAGTCAAGCTTTGTAACATAAGTTTAGGGTTATGGTTTTTTTTTATGTTTTTTAATTTTATTATGCGACATTATTATAATTTTAATTAACTTTATTATGCGACATTAAGAAAAACGTCTTATTCATCATCATCATTGTCATCATCATCATCATCATCATCATCATCATCATCATCATCATCATCATCATCATCATCATCATCATCATCATCATCATCATCATCATCATCATCATCATTATCATCATCATCATCATCATCATCATCATCATCATCATCATCATCATCATCATCATCATCATCATCATCATCATCATTATCATCAATTAAAAATAGTATATCTCAGACTAAAAATACCTGACACATGCATCAAATGTTCCTGGTTTGAAAGGAACACCCATTCCAGCATCAAGTTCCAATAGATCACCTTTTACTTCTCTTTCACAAGCTATTTCTACATATATATATATATATATATATATATATATATATATATATATATATATATATTATATATATATATATATATATATATATATATATATTATATATATATATATATATATATATATATATATATATATATATAGATGCCGAAACCGATACAGATGGATGGGATAAGGCCAATATCGATGCCGATACCGATAAATTTACTAATTATTAAAAATTTGAAAATATAAAACCATACAACTTTAAATCGGTACTGGTAAACAAATACTTGGACCCAAATCAAAGCCAAACAATTATTTTAAAAGATTTTAAAAAAACTCAGTTGAAAAAATATACATTTTCATTTTTTTTTTACTAAGAAAAGAAAACTTTCAAAAAAATAAATACAATTTTCGAGGAGCGCTTTTTATTTTTATTTTTAAAAAAAGAAAATAATCATATGCAGTTTACTTAGAATTATTTATGAATTTATTAGTAATTTAGATAACTAAACAACAATCATATGTTGTTTAGACATAAATTATTTTTAGCTAAATAAATTGTTTTTAGAATTATTTTGTTTTGTGATGTTCAATCCCCACCACGTTCCTGATAGTACAGCGCTTAACTTGTTTCGACACGCAGTGGCATTATTCATCAAGGTTTTTTTTTCTGAGTTATAAAGTTGGCTATACTTAAATACATGAAATAAGGCTGAACTATTTGCAAAGAAATTCTCTTTTAATCTGACTCTCAAATCTTATGGGCATTCTCTCCCTTCCATTCTAATTAAACAGGATAACCATTGTTAGACATTCAAATTATTTCAGCTTTCATTGCTCATAGTTATACCTTGATTAAACTCTTCTATGGCTTATGGTTCAGACAACGTTCCTGTCACAGTTTTACAAAAAGGTTCTCTAGAACTCTCTTCAATTTTCTCTAAATTATTTAATAAGTGCTTGACTGAATCTTGTTTTCCTGCCTGCTGGAAAACGGCATCTGTTGTTCTAATCTTTAAAAACTCTGGTAAACACACTGACTTCTCAGATTATTGTCCAATCAGTCTTTTTACTATTATTAGCAAGGTCTTTGAATCTTTGATAAACAAATTTCACACATTCTGTCTTAAGTCGAACAACTTGCTGTCAGACAAATAACTATTACAGTACTGTTGACATTCCTATTTAGATAAATGGCAACCCTCTTAATGATTCAACTTCTTTACATCTTCTTAGATTATCATTTACTACTGACTTTTCATGGAAATTATATATACAATCGATTGCTAAATTAGCATCTGCTAAGGTTGCATCTTTTTATCGTGCTCACCATTTTCTCTCTCCTGACTGTATGGAACACTGTTACCATATTTAGGCTGGTTCTTCTAATGATGCATTTTCTCATCAAGATAATGTCCAAAAATGGGTTTGAAATTTATCGCCAGGGCACGAAAAAGTGCTGGCCGGACAGTAATTATTTGTTTGGCGTGAGCGATTTTAAAAAATGTTTTTTTTTTTTCGTACCTCTTTAATTAGAATTTGATTAAGAAAAAAGATTTCATGCAATTTTAAAACGCGCTTAAAACTTTTTTGTGAGCGCTTAAAAAACGCCAGGCATAGTATTGGCAGGCGTGTGGGCGAGCACAAAACTGCAAGTGCGCAAAAGCGCTTATAAAACGGAGAAGACTGCACATTGTATTTTTATCACTGCTCAAAATCTGCAATATTAAAAAAAAAAATTTTTGCATCATGGAAGTCCTTGAATCTAAATTAATCATGATAGGAACAAATAAATTACCAAAATAATAAAATACTCAAATATTTTACAAAAAGTTAGTGTTTTTAGGTATCGTAACAATGCTATGATAAAGAGGGATGGGGGGGAGTAGCCCAAAAATTGCATGATGTTATTTGTGGACGACCCTTTAGGAAACATATATCAATGTAAATTGTAGCATGTGTAAAAAGTAGCTCTCTTACAAAAGCAGCTACAAATCTTGATACAAAACACTAAATTTTCTGACTGTATGCAGCTGATAAAATTTCATTTTTAATATTTTTAATGCCTTTTTTTATGTATTTAATGCCTTTATATTTTGAGACATTTTGAGTCAAAAGATTTAATTTTAGATCCGTTTTTGGAATTTGGATAAATGAATGTCTAGTGTTGAAAATAGTTTTCTGCATATGAAAGGCCACAACCCATATTAACCAATTGATCTGCCTGACATTTCACAGATCCTTCTATTAAATCTGGTGCTCTCTTGCCATATCCTTTTAAATAAAAAAGTGACAACTGGCTAAATCAAATTTTAATTCGTATGTTGAGAATAAGAAAAAATTCTGCTTATTCCTATAGTGTGTGGTTGGTCTATCAGAAAAAAAATTAAGATCTGTAATTTTTGCGTATATAACTTGAGTTCAATTAGCATAGGTTCCTGATGTGTCCTTATAGAGGGAAGATTGTGTCTCAAAGAGTTGGATATAGTTGTAAATAGGCATTTGTATAAATAATAAATAATCTCATTATTACCCACATCAAAACATAAATAAAATCTTTTATTGTTATTTTATCCCAGTGAATTTAAGAGTACCAAAACACACTATATAAAAATTTGACATTTTACAGGAAAAGAAAGTGTCACAGAGTAGACATGAAATAACTAAATATTAATAATAAAGTTAATATTTTAAAATATTAAAATATTTAAAAAAAGTATTGACACAAACTGTGATTAAAATTTTACATATACACACATACAGATATATATATATATATATATATATATATATATATATATATATATATATATATATATATATATATATATATATATATAAATAATATTATATATATATATATATATATATATATATATATATATATATATATATATATATATATATAGATATATATATAATATATATATATATATATATATATATATATATATATATTATATATATATATATATATGATATATATATATATATATATATAAAGCACAATAAAACCTATAAGTTATTTCTATTAAAAAATCAGCAGTAGAAAAAGAAGATAGAAATCCATATTGATGATCAGAAAGTAAGTTATTAGTTTCAAGATAAGAGATTTAGTGTTTCTTAATTTAAGAATCAAAAATCTTGCTTATGATAGGAAGAAGACTAATAAACAGTCAGTTGGCACAGGTTGTATTGATTTACATGTTATCAGTAGCAGGATAATCAGACCTGACATAAAGAATATTACTACAAACTATTACTATATATTACTACACATAGTGCTGTTTTTTATTTTTAATGTTATGTTAAACTATGATAAAGTTTTAGGACAGTTTTAGGACAAAATTTCAGTAACAGAGTAAACAAAATGATAAAATGACTCTAATATCAAAACTTGCAGCAATGGATGGGTTTATTTATATTAAATTTATTTTTAGCATTATGAATAGCTCATTCATAGAGTTACTTCAATAACAAGAATATTTATTAGAAAGAAACAACTCTAGAGAAATGCATTTTATAACAAAGCCAAACTTGAAACTATTACAGAAACTAGATGCTAATTTATAAACTAAGCTCTTTTGCTTGTGAGCAATTGTAGGCATTATTGTGTGCAAAATAAGAATAAGACTAAGTCACTGTTTAGTGGACACTATGTTGAAAAATACTATTTCTTTAGAAAATATTAAAATAAGTGGAATAAATATAAATATTGTTTGTAAATTAAAACGTTTGCTTTCATCGATTTTTAATTTGCTATCCATTTTTAAAATATATTTTAACTTAAATCTTGATTTTTTTTTTTTTTTTTTTTTTTTTTTTTTTTGTAATTTTATATAAATTAAAAAAAATTAATTCTCTCTATTCAATTTTTTGGTTAAAACTGGTTAAAACCGTTTTTTTGGGAATTCAAAAAACCGGTTTTTCAAAATGTTAGTTTTTGTAACTCAATAAGATAGAAAATTAGTTAGTTACTACTGCATTTTAATTGAATAATTTTTTTTAATTTTTATTAAAAAAGTAAAAAGAAAAATAACAAATAAATGTTTTATGGGCCCATACAGCCTCAGTAGTACCAAAATAGGTGTGATTTGCCCATGATATTTATAACTTCTGGACTTGCTTTTTTTTTTTTTTTTTAATAGTCAACAGTTAATAGAAAAACTTTTTAACAATCTCAGTTCCTACTTAGCAAGCTACACATGCTGTACAACTCGATAGTCTTGTGTGGCTTTTTTTAGAAATTACAATTTTTTATGTTTTGATAATATTTTTTGATATTTCCACTGAACTTTTTCATTCCTTCTTCATTTCAGGTATTGCAAAAAGATATGTATTTTTAGCAATAAAAAGGCAAAAAAAAACAACTTTCATAAAATATTTTTTAAATAATTTTCAATTAACTTTGATATTTATTTAACAACTTAGTTATTAATTAAATAAATAAATAATACAAAAATATTATAACATCAATATAAAAATATTGTTATACAACATTTTGTCATTTTATTAAAATGATTGATCGTACTGCTATATATTACTATAAAAATAAATATGAAAATTTTGACGATCGCATTACAATAATGACTAATCATTTAAAAAGACTTTTGTAATTAAAACTTGAGTAAATGAGTTGGATACTTGTAATGTTAAGATTATAATTTTTCAAAGTTATATTACACTTTTTTTCTTATAAGAACTATGATATTTTAGAATTAGTCAAAACAATATGTTTCTTTGTTTAATTAAATTAAAGGCATATTTATTGGCATAATTAAATCAATTATCATAATTAAATCATAATTATCAATCAATGAAGCAAAACAATAATATTTTTTAACAATTCCTTATTGATTAAGTTTTCAAATAACATATTTAACCTCAAAAAAAAAATTTAACTAATTGTTAATTGTCTAAAAGAAAGTTTGTTTGACTTGAGCAACATAAACAAAGAAAACAAAATTTACCAAGCATGGATTTGCTAATGTCAAATCCAACCCAATAGTGACCATTTTCTGTCAAAACTTCTCCACTTAAACCTGAACCACACCTGAAAGAATACAATAATTTATAAAAACACACACGCACACACACAGATATATATATTATATATATATATATATATATATATATATATATATATATATATATATATATATATATATATGTATATATATATATATGTATATATATATATATATATATATATATATATATATATATATATATATATGTATATATATATATATATATATATATATATATATATATATATATATATATATATATGTATATATATATATATATATTTATATATATATATATATATATATATATATATATATATACATATATATGTGTATGTATATATATATATATATATATATATTTAAGGATATGTATATTAGGATTGTTACAACTTTTGAATAATTATAATTTAACTGTCGACAAATTGACTAACATATTTTCTCAAGACGACTTAAATTGACAAATTTATTTTCAAAATTGATTTAGTCATAATAATGAAATAAAAGTCATAATATAGAAATAAAAATTTTTATAAAAAATAAATTGTAATAAAAATATTAATGTAATTTTTATTTGCGTTTTAACATCATATCATTTATATATTAATGGAACTAAACAATATGAAAGCAGGACAATAGACGATGAAACAATAATTAAAATTACGTTAATTGTTTAGTGTTTTTGTGACTATTTCTAACTATTTTTTTTTTTTACATAAATTAGTCATTTTAACTAAAAATATTTGAACTTTGGTACCTAAAAACAATAAAAGCTAAAAATATATTTAACAAAAACTCTTTAGAAATATCTGCTTTATTAAAACACTCAAATCACTCTTAAAAAAAAACTGCAACTTAAGTTAATGTTTCTTTGATGGCAGTAAGCAAAACCAAAGGTAAACATAACAAAAATAGTTGTGCAAAGTGCCTGAAGTGGACTTACAACATTTTTGTCAAGAAATTCATAGTATTCTTGTTAAACACCGACAAACTGGAGTTTAAATATGAAAAATTGGAATTTAAATCTGAAGTGAAGAAACCTAAACTTACTCTAGTGATGAATCAAAACATCCCACTTCAGTGTTTCACAGGAAGATGTGTGATCGCACGTCATTATATGACCAGGCAAATCACATTTTGCTTTGACAATTTGACCGCAGCTATTTCATTTTAAAAACGCGCTAAATAAAAAATATTCTGAATTATACCATTAGTGAAATAAATTGCATCAAAACTTATTAAAAAACATTTTTTCATTAGCAAAATGCTTTTAAATAAAGTAACAATTTACTGATAATGATTTTTTTTTAAAGTAGAATTGAAAGATGTATATAACATTTTTTACTTATATAAATTATTTAAATATGGATTTTTTATAATAAACATTCAAAAATAAAAAAATTATTTTTATTTAATAAACGATGACTTTCTTTGACAACGAAAGTCTCTTTAACAAATTTTGATATAAGATTAATAAAAGTTAATACATTTAAAAATGTAAAAACAATTTTCCTGAAAAAAAAAATTTTTTTTTATAAACCGCTACAATTAAATAAGTTAGATCTTTAATTTTATTAACATTATTAAAGAAAAAAAATTATTCTGTGTTTTAATAAACTAAGCATTTTAGTTTGTTGAGTTTTGTTTTAGTTGAGTTACATATATAAGTGTGTGTGTGTTTGTGTGTGTGTGTGTGTGTGTATATGTTATACATACACAAACCCAGACACACACACACACACAGATATATATATATATATATATATATATATATATATATATATATATATATATATATATATATATATATATATATATATATATATATATATATATATATATATATATATATATATATATATATATATATATATATATATATATATATATATATATATATCAGTGGTGTACACTGGACTTTTAGATGTTTGAGTTTTGACACTTACAGGTATTGTGCAAACTCGAAGCTTTTGTATGTTCATGCTTATGTCAAATGAGAATGTTTTGCAAAGAGTTGCGGTGATAAGAGCTTGGGGACAAAAAAAACCCAATTTTTGGGCCCACCCAGTCCTTAACATGGGAGCAACAAGTTGATAAAATAATTTTTTTAGTAGTTTTATCTAAGTTTATTATCATCAACAAATTTCAAATTTCATCCAATAATTTCTTATTTTTCAAAAATTATGACCATATAAAGTTTGAGGGGGCTAAAAACTTTGTAGGGTCATAAAAACTAAAATCTAAGAGGTTATTGCATGAAATTTGAAATTCGTTGATGAATATAAACTTAGATAAAAATATTAAAGAAATTATTTTATCAACTTGTTGCTCCCACGTTAAGGGCTGGGTGGGCCCGAAAATTGGGATTTTTTTGTCCCCAAGCCCCGATCACCACAACTTTTTGCAACACATCCTCATTTGACATAAGTATGAACATATAAAAGGTTGGAGTTTGCAAAATGTGTGTAAGTGTCAAAACTCAAACATGTAAAAATCTATATATATATATATATATATATATATATATATATATATATATATATATATATATATATATATATATATATATATATATATATATATATATATACATATATATATATATATGTATATATATATAAATATATATATATATATACATATATATATATATATACATATATATATATATATATATATATATATATATATATATATATATATATATATATATATATATATATATATATATATATATATATATATATATATATATATAGATAGATTTTTACATGTTTGAGTTTATATTCATCAACGAATTACAAATTTCATGCAATAACCTCTTAGTATATATATATATATATATATATATATATATATATATATATATATATATATATATATATATATATATATATATATATATATATATATATATATATATACTAGTAATGTGCCGGGTACCCGGGTACCGGGGACCGGGCACATCACATATGTGATACCTGGTATCGGCCATTTTGTTGGAGTACCCAGCACTGGGTATCTTCAAATTGACTTTTCCTTTAGTTTAAACTTTAACCATTAAACTTCTTGATATAAGTCTAAGACTGTTATGTAGTCAATAACCACAAAGTTTTGTTAACTCAAAACAATCTCACTTAAAATATTTTTTAATACATTTTTGCAAAAAAATTTATACGGATACAAAAACTGTAATGCTAAATGAAACAATTCAAGAATACGAATAAAAAGAATGGGAAAAAAAGTTTTAGAATAGCTTCTTTTTATTCTGTTAGAACACAAGATAATTTTTAGCAATTTAGTATTGAATGAAACGCTTAAAATGATTTTGAACGCTGATAGCACTTTTCATTCGTGTCAAGCAAAAATCATAAAAGTAGAGATATAAGGTAAATATTATACACATTTTTCATATTTTAATTTCGAGTGTATTATTAAAAAAGTTATCGTTTTATATAAAATAAACGAAAACTTTGATATCAAAACTAGTTTCATTATCTATATAGAAATTTTATTTGAAAGAAAAAATATGACAAAAAAAAGTAGAGCGTGGAAGTTCTTTGCTATAAGCACGTTTCCTCATATGAGTAAGTGCAAACTATGTGGTAGTTTAGTTACGAGAGGAGGAAAATCTTTCGAGTCTTATGGAACTACAGCAATGGTAAAATATTTATGTTTAAAGCATTCCAAAGAGTTTGAACTTGCGGAAGAAAAAAAAAAGGTTCAATCATTGCTGTCTATTTCTGAAGCCTCAGTTGCTTCTACCACCAATACAGTACAAAGTAACATTATTCAGGCTTTACACACAAAAAAACAGTGGAATATTGATGACCACAGATCTATTCCAATCCATAGAATAATAGGAAAACTTATCACATTTTTACAAAAAGGTTTAGAAACTTTTGAAATCCCGTTAAGCAAAATTCGTCTTATTGTTACCGATAATGCAAACAAGAAGAAATCCTGTTAAGCAAAATTCATCTTATTGTTACCGATAATGCAATTGTTTGCATTATCGGTAACAATAAGATGAGTTTTGCTTAACAGGATTTCTTCTTGTTTACATTAAGGCTGCAGTAAAAAACAGTGAAATGTCATCAATTCCATGCTTTATCCATACTTTGCAGCTATGTATTCATGACTCTATATTTAGCCAAGAAACCATCAAGGAAATTTCAACTTTATGCAGAGGAATAACGACACATTTTAATCATTCACCAATAGCATGTGCAAAATTAAAATCAATTCAGCAGCAGTTAAGTACTGTACCTCACAAAATGAAACAAGATGTTCCAACTCACTGGAACAGTTCATTTGAAATGCTACAAAGAACGTTTGAACATGTTCCTTTGGCCACCTATGCAGCAGAATATGATGAAATTAAACTTCCTACTAATTATTAATGGGGAATAGTCAAAAAACTTGTTCACATTCTTGCTCCATTTGAAAACTTAACAAAAAATTGGTAGGAGGGACGAAACATGCGCACAAATTATATCATATGTTCTTGCATTAAAAGTTTTATTACAAAAAGCTTCATCAAGTGATATATACGCTGGGATTATGACAATGATTGATGAACTAATAAAAGCTGTTACTAAAAGACTTGATAAATTTTTGCTTAATAAAATGTTATGTGTATCAACAATTTTTGGATCCACGATATAAATTACTTTATTGACATGCTGATGAAAATGTTATTAAGAAGTGGGTTGAAAAAGCATGGAAAGAAATGCAAGGAGCGCAAGATATTGTTGACTCTGACTTCGACGATGCTCCAATAATAAAAGCTCCAGCATCTAATGGATTCATTAGCATTGATGATTGTTTTAAAGATAAAGCTTCTATGAGAACCAGAAGAAAGCAGAGTAAAAGACATTCCGAGGCAGAAAGAGAATTAGTAGATATTGAAGTTGTTACTACTGACGTAATTAAGAAGCAAACAATATTAAGGTCTGCAATTACTCAAGAAATAGATAACTATTTATCTCTGCCTCTTTTAGAAAATAAAGGTTGTCCGTTT